CTGTTATACATAGTGTTACCACTCTATGATTGAACCTCCTTCTAGGAATTTCCTTTTCTGGTTTCATACTTGCACTTAGATTTAACCACAGGGCTCTGCATTCGATTATAGCCCCCTATTAGGTTATAGAAGCTAAAAATCCTAAGATTTTGCCTCCAGCCCAACTCGAACCATTAACCTAGTCTGTGGAGGTTTGGCAGCTTAACTACTAAGCTATAGAGCCCAAACCCAGCTTTGTAATAATCTTTGTCTAACTGTTTTTAAATAGATTCAAAATAAACTTTGTTATGAACTAAGAAATCTTGAGCTTCCTTATTGCTAGTTTTAATAACTTTAGTAATACTGAGTTGAAAACCTTTTTTATATTTTGTAGTACTAGTTATAGTTTTTTTTATTGTCTTTTGCATCTTTCATTATTATATTTATAATCTGCATTAGTTTTTCTGTTGAGTTTTTAGATAAGCCTGCAAAATTCAGGTTCTTTAAAATATTCTTCTTTACCAGAACTTATATTAGTCACTTTTTAAATATCTTTAATAATGTAATTAGTTTGACATTATTTAAGTTATAATGCCAATTGGTATCTTTAGAGATTTGATATATTTGTATGATTTTTTATTTTAATAAGACTTTGCTTAATTGAATACAGATTTCTACAAAAAGGCAAAAAATCTTTTGTGCTTGAGTACTTACTATCTTAATTAATATATAGATAATTTCTGAAACCTTTAGATAGATTTTTCTTTAGATCTCCAAACATATTAAGCTATTCTTCTTCAAAGATATTTTGATCAAGTTCACTATATTATTCTTCTTATATTTTTTTGGATATTCTATAGAATAGATGAGCAAACTCTGCCAACTCCACAACTTTGATATTAAAAATTAATGATTACTGATTATTAACAAAGCTTATTTTTTATATTGCCCACCTATTCTATAAAACATCTATTTTTTATTAGTTTATATATTTCTTTTTTCAAAAGTTCTAATTAAAGCAACAAGATCTAAATTGTTTTTGAAAATATTCTCATGTTTTGTTTAACTTCATTTGAGTCTAGAACAAGTTCTTTCTGGTTTTCTTTTTTTTTAAAAAGTTTGTTAATTTAAATTTTGTTTAATAGTTTCTTTAATAAACTCACAAGCATTTTGTCTTGCTTTCTATTTATCATTTGATATTTTTTTTTGATATTCTCTTCTATTTCTTTTCTTTGTTAGAGCAGTGTCATTTATCATCTGATTTTTTTAATTAGAAGCTTATTACTCTTCTCTTCTTATTATATATTTTGATTAGATCTTTATATATATATTTAATTTTTTTACCTCCTTCTTCTCTAAAAAAGCATCTAATTTTTGTTGCGTCTCTTATTGTTCAATCTTCTCTGCCTTTCTTGTATATAGAATTTTTTATTAGCCTTTTAAATCATCAATTAATTTATGTGACCAACAAGTAATAATTATTAATATTGTATTGTGTTGCTAATTTATATACTCTAGCTCTGCAATTAAATCATTAATATAGTCATGTATAAAATCTAATTTAATACTTTTCTCTCTATACTTATTCATCTTCTTAGTTGTATTAAGATATATGATAACTTTGACTTTATTGTTTTTTTTTTTATTTTGTGCTATATTGCAGATCCTTTTCTTTGGTAGATTACATTTTGCTAAGATAAAGATACTATTATTTATATTATTTAAAGCTTGTCTAGCTCTGTTATTTTTTTTTAGTAATATGGGGACCAGACAACTAAAAGAGAGCTTATGGCATTTTTTTCAAAAATAAGTTAATTACACTATGATATAATATAAGCATTGCTCTATATAATTTTATATTTAAAAGTGCCAAGTTATATAATAAATTATTTGCCGATAGCTACTTGTTTAAATATCTATATATAATTAGATGTGATCTAAAATTAGAATTTAGAAATCTAGTTGTCGATCTTTGCTGCAGAGTCATAGAGAAGCATTTATATGATTAGCTAATTTATATTGATCTAATAGGTTATACTAATAATAGATCGTTATTGTTATTGTTATACCAAATTTGAAACATGATTTTCTTAAAATAAAAAAAAGCCATAAGCCTCCTTTTAGTTGTCCAGTCCCCATATGCTTCCTTTAGAAGATTTTGTATACTTATGCTTTTTTCAAGCAAGCTATCTATTTGCTTTCTATAATTTTTTCAGTTTTTCTTTTTCATCTTTTTACAGAAAAAACTGTTTTTGTGTATCCTTTTCTTCTACATGCTGCTACACTTTGGGTTACATTAAAATAACTTATGTTAATTCTGGTTATTACTACTGCATAGTTACTATTTGTATAAATTTTATTATAATATAATTTTTAAAATTTTAATAATTACAATGCATAACATTTAAAGGCTAAAATCATGTAACTGTTTCATTTCAAGTTGCTAAAATTAAAATCACTTAAAATCTGATTTTACATACTTTGTTATGTAGTTACATAACTACATAATTATACCAAACAGTTCTTAAATTTTTATACTACCCAAATAAGAATAATGAATCTAACTTCTTTCAAAAACTTATATAGCAAATTTTATATAACAAATATCCAAATAACCAAAAAACAAATAAGACCTGTTACATCATTAATAAATCATTAGCATATTGACTTTTTATTGCCACTTGTTCATCTTGTGCTGTTCTCATATTTATTACTGCTTGTTTAATTTTTATATACTAATAGCTAATACCCGGTTAAAAAAAGAATATGTAATATTTTCAATAAATAAAAGAAGAAAAAAAAAGCACAAAAAACTATTTGCAAAAAAAAATCAACCAAAAATTTGCAAAAAAAAGGTAAAAGAAAAAATTTATTATATTATTGAAACACAAAAACATGAATGATCATGAATTAACCAATACTCTATTATTGAGGTCTAAAACAGAATATAGTATATATTAGTAGTTAGACCAATACAAAACAAAAAAAAATCTTACAAATCAATATGATTGATATTTTCTTGATTCTCTTGTATAAAAAAAGTCAATTCACTCTGAAGAACTCGTCTATGCAACTTAAACTTCTTATACATATATTTAGCTAATTTTTTTGTTAGCTCTTTATGATATAAATCTATATATTGTCAAGACTTTTAAGCAAATCTCTTGATTATAATAATATCGATAGATTGAGTACCTGTAAAACAAATTTTTGTAAACTAGCTTATAAGTAATCACATTGATTTCTTGTATAGAATTTGGTCACACCTCAATACTTTTTAATAAAATTAAGTTTATAGTGATATTTTAGATAAAAATGTATAAGTAGGCAGCATTTTCTATTAATTTAACAATGGCTAACTTTTGTGCAAAAAAGTTAGGTTGCAAAGCCATAATCTTTTTTGCACAACAATTTACATATAAAGGATTGTTCACTAATTTCTTATCTTTACTCATCTTATATTCTAAACGTAATCTATCTCTCTAAATATCCTTTCTTGCAATACTAATCTTAGCCTTTTCAGCTTTTCTTGTATAGTAGGATTCTTACAATTTTTTTCAAAAACTATCTGCTGCATTTTTTCAATTTCATCAAAATTAAAAAAGTCATTAATCACATTACTAACTGGTTTCCACTAAAACCCAAGTTTATTTTTGATGCAACAAGAGAATCCTTTGCATATGCTGTATAGTTGATACTGTTATCAAAGACAAAGATGATAGTTGCATTAAAAAATTTTGCTTCAAATATAGGGATGGCTTTATTTTTTATTTGATCTAATAAATAATTAACTGTTCAATAACTTTCATAGTTTTATCAGATATAAGATAACAACAGGCTTCTAAGAAAACACCTGAATATATTTCTGTCTCTTCATTAGTCAATTTTAGTTGACCACATTCTTTCATAAGAAATTTGTTTATAATTATTGACCTTCTGTTTTCCTTCTTTTATAAGGGCATCTCATTGTTAGGTACTAAATTTTTCTCTTTCCATTATTCGCATAAAATATACATTTATCATAAGTTACAAAAATTAATTCTCATTCTTCTCTATTAAGTACTGATAAGACCCTTTCTATTGCTTCTCACTTATATATTGCTATTTTCTGCTCTAATGTTCTCATATTATCTAAAAACACATATCATTATATCACATTATTATGCTCATGCTCATCAAAGTACATTCTCTTTATATATTCCTTATATTTATATTCTAAAATATTCAACTACCTTACTGCTGTTTATAAACTAATTTTTTAAAAACTTTTCTAAACACTTTGCCAAAATAAAATTGTTTACATATTGTATAAAACAAGTTGGACTAATTCTATTTACTTCTGCTTCTCTATATATCTATTCTTTACATTGCAAAACAATATCTTTATTATTAATAAGTCAGTGGTGTTTTTGATGCTGTGTTGTATAACTGGAAATGATCTATAATATAAATAGAATTTAGCTAAAAAGTGAATTCTCTGAAATGTATATAGTTTTGAAGAAATATAAGCAACAGTGCATTCTCTTCACTTGCTTTCATTTTGCTATTACTACCTTCTAACCACACAAAATATTTATAAACTATTTATCATTTATTATATTCAATAGCTGTTAATTTTTTTTGATTTTTCATAAGATCTTCTCTAAGCTGTTCAATTCCTTTATGAAGTGTAAATTCATTTGAAGAAGGTGCAAAAGACCTACTTGATAGAGTGGACTTGGAGGAGGTTGTAGTTCTACAAAAAACTCACTTGCTTAGGAAGTTATAGGAAACATAAGAAATATGGAAGGTATTGAAAACCTTATAGAAAATTCACTTAATGATAATAACAATATAGTAATTGGAATTTTTTAATATATACTGATTATTCAAAAGCTAAAGACCTATTACTAACTTTGCAACCTTAAAAAAGTCAGTAATTTTATAGATTTTCTTAGTAACACATATTGACTTCAATAATCTTTTAATTATCCTTGCATTTTTTTTATCTTTTTTCTACATGAATGTGGGGGCCTTGTTACTTATTCTTCAAGCTCTTTTTTACTTTCATCCTCATCAAATTCACTGCTTTCAGTAGATATATCATCAGAAAAGACATCTTTAGCAAAGACATCATCATGGATATCTTCAGCAAAAATATCCTTAGTCCAAATATCATTTTCAATACAATTATCACTCAAGACATCCACAATATCCTTCTTTTGCCTTTTTATGACTTGCTTTCTTCTTTTATTATTATATTCTTAAAGCATCTGATGCACTTTATTTTTTTATTTTGGCATGCTTTATTAATTGGTTCTCACAAAGTCTTATAAAGAAAAAAAAACTGAAAAAAAAAAAAATTTTTTTAGTATAATTTTATACTGTATAAAAGCACAATTATTCAGATTAAACATATCTGAAAAAAAACTTAACAGAAAAAAAAAATATAAAGAATCTGAATTCTATATATACATTTCCTTCTCTATATATTCTGCATTTTCTTCTCAGTCAAGTGATTAGAGACATAAGAAAAATTTTACATATCTTTTGTACTAACTGCTAAAGATACTTTTTTCATACTCTGGTTTCTTGAATAAGCATTTCTTTCAAAGTATATATATGCAAGATCAATTATCATATGAAATTCCTGAATCTTATAAATATATATGTGATATTTGATTGACCAATAATATTTTGTATATATATGCCACTAAATTCGATTGATTGACCCAAATCATGTTTTTTGTCTCATTTGCTAATAACATATATAAATTGGATATTTTTAATTTTTTTATTAACTAGTCTCTTTGGCATAGAAGTTTATATTGGGGGTGAAAGGCTTACAACAGAACCCCAAATTATATTAGAGAATATAACTAGCCACATATACAACTTTTGGTTGCCTATTTAAGTAGTCTGTATAGAGGTAACTGTACACTATAGGTTCTATACTAGCTGCTATACCTATAACTCAACTAGAGAAATACCTATTTAAATCCTCTATAATGCATCCAAATCCTTACTTGTTATTACCAAGACATCTTTGCTACATTTGTTAGTCAAAAAGTACTGAATGCTTGCTATAGCCTTAAGACTAATTTATCTTTAAAACATTATTGCTAGAGCTTTTTATATCCACAATTTGGTTAATCTAGACTTCAATAATTTATACCAAGTCTGAGAATGAGTACTTGCGAACTAAAGCCACTACTATTATCTACTTTTGCCTTTATAGAGTTCACCCAAACTTTAGCACCTACTTTACAGACTCTCTACTATTTCTTTGATCTCTAATTTCCAATTCAGATAGCCCAGAAGAGTGAACTCCTTCCCCAATATACACTGGTAGCCTGGTTGGTATTGTGCTTTGCTAAACACCTTGATCCTATCCAGTTTCTCGTTCTTCGGTTGATAATCCTTTATATAGCACTGTTAAAAGTCTGCACTACCTCTCTACTCATGACTTGCTAAGTAGGCTTCTGTATATCTAGCCTTCAGATTTACCTGGCTGCTTCACTCAGGTTTTGTGTAACTCATATATTATATTAAATATTTCACAGCCTTCAGTATAGGGTTGTTAATGGAGTAGCTTACTCTGGAGCACTCTGAAGTAAAACCCAACCCAAATTAGAGTAGGTTTAAAATTATGCCTTTAAATTTGGTGCAACCTGGTGCAACCTGAAGTATTATGAAGCAACCCAAAGCAAAACACTAGAGTAGGTCTAATTTAGTAAAGTGGGTTGAAGATTGGGTCAACCCAAACCAAACCAACCCAACCCATTAACAATCCTACTCCAGTACAAGCTGATACAACCAAAGTTATAGATCTAATGATCTATCAGATTATACATAGTCTGCTATAACACATTCTGTAAAATTCGAATTTCATTACTAATAGGATTTGAACTCTTGTCCTGCTACTTAGGGATGCAACAACTTATTAACTTCACTAAGTCACTACACTCCTTGAATCAGATATTTTTAACTAATTATAAATTAAGAATAAATAAGTATTTTTTTAAAAAAAGCTGCTAAGTTATACATCAGCGAATTATATAAATGTAATCTTACGTAAGTTATTACGGACCGA